AATTCAGAAGGCACAGCACTTGGAATAATGTCTGTAGGTGTTCAATGTCCGTAGGATGAAGGGGGAAAAAAATGAATGGATCCTGTTTGTCAGGGAATCATACTTGGGCAGAGAGTGCTGAGCCAGACTTGCATCAAATCCAGTCCCCCAAATCAGACTTGCTATACTTGATTCTAAACCTCCGATTTAATCTTGATACCTCAAGGTAGCCATTATTGCCTCTCTTCTTCTTCCTAAAAGCAACATTTGGAGGTTTCTCCAGATTTCTTTAAAAAGTTGAGCTTCTCTAGTATTGTTTTTTGCTCTAAATTGTTCCCAAACCAAACTAGATTTTACGAATCTCACGCCACATCTCCCTGTTATATGGCTTCATGTCAGTCTCCAGTTATTTTGCTCCTCTTTTCATGTATGAGTATGTGTGATCAGAACTTGATATGTAAGTCCTAGCCACTTTTATGATTACAAAATACCCACTGAAGACATCCACATTAATTAGGATTTATCTGTTTCCAATACTTAGTCACGAGCAAATGATCAAAACTAGATTTAACCACAAATTATTAGCATTATTGTTCATCACTCCCTTATTTCTTCTGCTTTCTTAAGATGTTCATATAAATTCCATTTTTGCTTCTCTAGTTTGTGTAATTAAAAAACAACTTATTTTCAGCACTTTTACATGTCAGAACTCCTATTTTGCTTGAACATCTGTTTGACAACCTGGTTGGAATATGACTCCGCTGACTTCTCTCATTCAGTGTTTCAGGTAAGTTTGGTGTCAGATCTGACTGATTCTCTTTCAAATTGTAGGCATCCAGGACCTATGTGTTGTTCTGTTTTTCATTTATCCTCATATTTCCTGCAAATTTTCTTAACCAAGACTGTAGCTTAATTAAAACTTCCTTGTATTTCCAAGGTATTGTTCCTGTTTTTGTTGTTGTTGTTTGTTTGTTTGTTTTGGTGTGAAAGTGTTCATTATATTTTCACTGACTTGATGGAAAGGATCTTTTTTGGGTAAACCTGTCTGGCAAGTACTGAACCTCTTTTGAGCTCAGGGAAAACAGCTCATGTTATTTTGGGAGTGTTGTTTTCCCAACTCTCAACCTCCTACTTTCTTCTCTTCTTCTGGATGCCTGGCTATTGGATCTCCTAAAACTGTAGTGGTCAAGTCTAGAGTCAAATCACCTGGTATAAATCCCATCACTTCTAGCAAGTCACTATCTCAGAGCCTTAGTTTCTTTATATGTACAATTAGGATAGTAATAGCACTGACAAGGGAGGCAGACAAAGAATTTTTGTTATCTTCCCAGAATTTGAAATGTTAAGGGAAAGCATGAGACTTTTAAATTAGCCTTGCATGTTTTATTATGTCTTTCCCTTCAAATAGGGCTGACCCCAGATGGAAAACTTCAGACACCTGAAAGAGCTCAAGCCCTGGGCCCTGATCCTAGATGTACTAGTATGGCCTTGCACAGCAGCCTTAATCCCCTGGACTCATCTATCAAAGTGAAGTGGCAACTTCAAAGGTCTGTGTTAGTTGTACAGTTTGGCTTTGATTTTTTTTAAAGGACAAACTGATTTTCAGTCTGTGTAGAATAAGCAAACAAAAAGGTCTCCTTCAGTGGCTTTTTATTCACTGGTCTAATTGCTACGAAGAAAAGGAAAATAAAATTTAAATACGGTTTAAGGAGATTTCAAAAATGATAATTTGTTATGAGAATTGATCATAAGGTTATATGATGAATATAACCTTAAGAGCCCTAACTAGTGATACATGTACCCAAACAGTCACACAACTTGCAGAAGTTTTAGAGCTAAAGACTCCATGGTTAGGCTATTAGAGGCCTGGTGCACAGTATCGTGCAATGGTGGGGGTGCAGCCAGCTGCAGGCCTCATCCCAGTCAGCTGAGTGGCTGTGCACCTGCCCTCTGAGCAGCTGCTCTGCTGTGGTAGCAGCTGCTCATCTGGTCAGCCGAGCGGTACTCCCACTGTGAGAGCGCACTGACCACCAGGGGGCAGCTCTTGCATTGAGCATCTGCCCACTGATGGTCAGTGTGTGTCATAGTGACTGGTCAACCGGTCATTCTGCTATTAGGTTGCTGGGCTTTTATTGTATAGGATGCCTATATAATGTATAATTTATAACTGTATCCCTGAAATATGTTACTATATGATGTATATTGCTAAACAAAATAATACGTAATTACTAGAGGCCCTGTGCATGAAATTTGTGCATGGAGGGGGGGAAGGGGCAGTGGTGTCCCTCAGCCAAGCCTGCACCCTCTCCAATCTGGGACGTCTCGAGGGATGTCTGCCTGCCCATTTAGGCCCAATCCCACCAGGCCTAAATGGGCAGTCAGACATCCCTCTCACAATCCAGGACTGCTGGCTCCCAACTGCTTACCTGTCTGCCTTCCTGATTGTCCCTAACCACTTTTGCCTGCAAGCCTGATCACCCCCTAACCACTCCCATGCCAGCCTGATTGATGTCTAAATGCTCCCCTGCCAGCCTGTTTGCCCCCAACTGCCCTCCCCTGCAGGCCTGGTCACCCCTAACTGCCCTCCCCTGCAGGGTTGATCACCCTCCCTTGCAGGCCTGGTGCCTCCCAACTGCCCTTTCTTGCTTGCCTGATCACCCATCACTGCCCTCCCCTGCTGGCCATCTTGTGATGGCCATGTTGTGTCCACATGGGGGCAGGATCTTTGACCACATGGGGGTAGCTATCTTGTGTGTTGGAATGATGGTCAATCTGCATATTACTCTTTTATTAGATTGGGTGGGGGCCAGCTGGTTTGCCCTGAAGGGTGTCCCAGATCAGGGTGGGTGTTCCTTTAGGGTAGGGGTGTTGAACTCAATCAGAGAAGGGGCCAAAATCTAAAATCCAGCCTAAATCGCAGGCCGAATGGTTTACTTAACAGTCATAAACTGTCATTGTGATGAAAACGCAGCCGAGTGCAGTGATGACAGCGCGGTGCGGGCCACATTGCAAGGCCTGGTGGGACGGATTTGGCCCGCAGGCCTTGTGTTTGACACATGTGCTTTAGGGTGTGGGGCGGCCTGTGCAAGGGGCCTGTGGTTGTTTGCAGGCCAGCCATGCCCCCCAGTGACCCAAGTGGAGGCCCTGGTATCTGGAATTTATTTACCTCCTACAATTGAAACTTTGTAGCCTGGAGCAGAGCCAAGCCTCCTGCTCATTCCGTGGCCGGCAGCCATTTCTGTTTGCATTTGTTTACGTTCTATCATTGAAACTTTGTAGCCTTGAGTGGAGGCTTAGGCCAGCTAGGGAAGGTGGAAAGCTTGGCTTTTTCCATTGCCTGGGAAACCCGAACCTCCCTTCTGCTCTTTGTGGCTGCAGCCATCTTGGTTGGGGTTAGTTTGCATACTTGCCCTGATTGGCTGGTGGGTATAGCAGAGTGATGGTTAATTTGCATATCATTCTCTTACTTGGTAGGATATAATATACAGATCCCTGGAGAGATCTGATAAGTTGTAATAAATGTTCGTAGGCAAAAAGTTACCTTTCACTGGGTGAGTCCAGAGAAAGGAGAGCTATCATTAAAAAAGGACTGGAGGAGGGATCAGATTTTGTATGTGGAATTCATAGGCAGGAACAGAGCAGAATAGAAAGCAGGATAACTGAAACCAAAGGGATGGATAAGCATAAGACACAGTGAGTAGCTTCATATGAAAATGCCAGAGGAAGAGGAAATGGATAGACCCAATTAAGAATGGAAGAAAATTTCAGCATTCTTTAAATCACTGACTAGTACTAACTTGAAACTCTGAGTAAAGGTACACTTCAGGAATATAAAAAAATCTGACCAAAAAATTCCACAGTAAGTACTAATACTTTACTACTTACAAAAGATAATTTAACTTAGAAGTCTGCAAATGAGTTGAACTCTTCTGCTTGAAGTCTTGAAACAAAATGATCTTCAAGACACTTAGAACTGAGTTTATAGTAATCAGCATTTATTCTGGGGTTGGGAAAAGCTGACATACCTTAAAATCTTGATTGGGCCATGGCTTAGGCTATTAACCTACTTACACAATGAACATTCCTAGGGCATGAAAATCTGGTTACAGGAGTCTTCTTAGAGATGTCAGCAGGTGTGTGAATACTGATAACAGATTGGTTATGTATTTCTAGAAACAGGGCTGTTTACCAGTATTATCCCAAAGGGACTACCAACTGCACTGACCACACTTTGTAAGGGGCCCCAAGAAAAAGAGTGAAGTTTTAAAATTACAAATAGAATAAACCAGAAGTTAAGCTTTTCCAAAAGTCCTAATAAAACAGAAAATTTGTAGCTTATTCGAGGAACCATTATACTTCTGACCCTCAACCCCTCAAACCTCAGGGCCTTCACCTAGGTATAACTATTTTGAATTTAGGAGTTTTAGATTATATGTGCTTATTATTTTGGTGTAGATGAATTGTCAAGGGAGGGTTTTTAGCAAAATTTTAGACAAAGAGCACAGGGGAACTTCTAAAAGGATTTTAAGTTCTGAAATCTAAAAGGATTTTAAGACAATAAATGTTAATATAATACTTAATGCCAATTTTATCTCACAAAAACAAAAAGATTTTATCAATTTATACTTTCTGATAGCCTTTTAAGAATTCTGTTTTGAATTCTTACCTGGATTAAAGTTTTGATGCATCATGTTTTGACTTTTTTTATTTATTTACAATTTCTATCCTTCCTTTAAATGTACAAAAGTTTTTAGAAAAACAAAAGTAAAAAGAAATCCTAGAACTTTACATTTCAATAACAAACTGTGTTTTAGAGCCAGCTATTAGAAACTTGTATTTATCAAATGAGAAAATATTTAAAATTCAAAGTGAAGGAAAAAAAGTTATAGCAAATAGAAATTTATCATCTATTAAAATTTCAGGTATTTATCTAAAGCAATTCTATAATTTTATTCATATATTTTGTGGAGTTCACATATCTTTTTCTTACAGCAAACATAACACTGTAGGCCACAAGGAGCTGCAGTACTATTGTTTAATTAGCAGCAAATTAATATTTTATATCTGAGTAACTGGACAATAAATAGCCTGCTTCTTTGGATGTGGATGTTTTAAAATGTAGTATTACTGCAGCTTCATAATGTGACTGCTATTTTACAGAGCTTATACACACACAAAAAATACGATCTTTGTCTATATTTTATACAAATACAACAGTAGTTTGTGAATACATTTTTAAGTACATGATATACATGATAAGCCACTTGATTTCCCAATATCACAGAATAGCCATTTTAAATGCAATAAAAATATACAAAATTCAGCCTGGAATGCAGATTTTTTTTCTATTTTGACTCAAAACTTTATCATTAGAACATTTTAAAAAATATTAGTTCAAACACTTTTTTATCAGCTAAAAATACAATTTCAGCAGTCCAGCTTACGTTCAGGCAAGATGCAATCTATTTCCTAATGGATTCCCAGTTTTTGTTAAATTCAAAGGGCCATTAGTTACACACAGCATGTTCTTCACTCTATACCATATTATAAAGTCCACTTTTCTTTGAGTTACAGTCATCTTGTGGACAAAAGCTGGGTTTGTTCTGGTAACATTTGCGTGTCCAAGATTTCCTTTTGCAAGTGCACATGAATACATTGTGGTGAGTGTAAAAGTTTGTTAATGACAAATCAAGTCACAGTATAAAAATATATTGTACACCTTTACACCTAATGAAGTCCTTTTTTTCCTATGGATAAAAAAAAAATTACGACTGAATGAGACAGAGACGTTTGTAGCACCATGGAGAGTTGTATCCCAAGTTACATTAGCAGCATGATCCAACATCATTGAAGGAGTGTTTCTGAGAAGATAAACATTCATTCTGGTTCATCTGTACCACTGAAGCTTATATAATGAAGTGTGTTATACATTAGCAATAGTTCTGTTATTTCTAAGCTAGGTAGCTTATCAAAAGACACTGCCTTCCATCCTCAGAGGGTTGATAATGCAGGAGGGAATAAGGGTGATCTGTGAGTGCCTTTTTGTTGGTAGTATTAAGTTGCTTTATATGATCTGAAAGTAGCTCTTATGGGTTTTTAGCACAAAGCTACACAAGACAACTTATGTGATCTATGTAATCATAACAAACAACCTGTGTTGTTTACATGACTACTGACACAGTGAGAAAAATCAGACTAAGTCAACTTAGCCACTCATTTGTCAGAGATAACAGTCTGCCATTACTAATGAAGAATACTCAACATTGAAATGATCTCCTCCAATGTCACATGGATCTCAGTAGGCTAGAAGCAACTTGGGTGAACTGGTATTTTTACATCTACATACTGGGAAGACAGTGTGTTTTGAGACACGTAAACCTTGTAAAAAAATAAACCATTGTAAAACCTTATGAAAAGACACACACTGATTCTGTGCAATATAGCAAATTGATAAGAAAACACTGTAAAAATGTACCTGTTTAAAATATCGTCTACCATTTTTGAACACAAAGCATTATATATCAAAGTTCTACATATATATCATCTAATGGCACTTGAAACAAATCATATAAGTCTTAAAATAAAAGGCATAACCTATAAGAAAGTTTCTATAAAGGCTTAGATTGTTTGAAAGTGCTATATCTTGTAATATGTGTAGTATAGAGGTTGACCAAGCTATATTTTTATTAAAAAAAAATATTGGCCTACATATGTGTATTGCTCACTAGATGAATGATCCTGAAAATATGTACTCTTTAACATTCATTATTAGCTTAAAAAAGCAATCAGCTCTGGCTCATGTTTCAGTCAGTATATGGTTTTTAAAAACCGCTACTGTCCAAATTAACACAAATGACTAAGAATAATAAAGCACAAGCAACAAACAGGCAAAAATACGTAGTAGGGAAGAAATATTAAATGAAATTTAAAAGCTGCACAAAGAGTGATGCATGATCAGCCAGGACAACTGAAGTTTTGAAAAACTGAACTTGGTGATGGGATTTAAAAATGCAAATCTTAACAGTGACCAATAAGTATAAAGATGACATTTGCATATATCAATGAATAGTAATTGCTTACTGTGCCATGATCCTTCCACAGTCATGCTTCCGTGTCTGGTGATCTAATTTTTTCACGCATGTGGAAGTTCAAACTGAATGAGGTTCAATATCTTGTCTGAGGTCCACATTCTAAACTGAAACATTTTTACTTAATGATAATCACTTTTTAATTTTTATTTAACCAAGCAAAGGCACTACTAGAAATTTCAAGGATGATGATTCTGGCCAATCACTTTTTAATTTTTATTTAACCAAGCAAAGGCACTACTAGAAATTTCAAGGATGATGATTCTGGCCACTGGAGAATAAAAACAGCATTGGCAATAATTATTTTTAATTATATCCAATTGACATAAAAACAGATGTCAACTTTTTTTTTTCTAGGAAAAAAAAAGAGAGCCAATTCTGTGTTGCATACTTGTCAAACCGTTGTGCAATGAAAATAAATGAGTTTGCCTCATCTTTAATAGAAATTCTCTCCAAAATGGTTTAGTGACCATTACAGTCAATTAAAAAAAAATTAGCTGAATTCCCTCTTAGTTGGAAGTGATATTTTAAGTCTGTGGGGGCAGCAACAGGCAAAGAGGTGTATGTATGAAAATTAAGACTCTATACTTTTAATACTGGTGCCCTGAAAGATGTGCCTCCATGTATCTGAAATCCATACAGGGCGAGAATGAGGCATATATATATATATATATATATATATATATATATATATATATATATATATATATATATATTGCCTTTCCCATTTCTAAAATGCTTTATTTAATAAATCCTGGTACTCCCTTTTTTTATTAGCAGTGAAATACAGCCTACTAAGGCCAATGTCTCAGTTCATCAATTTGATTTCTTCTTTAGCAAATTTTAAAGTAGTGTTTCCACACTTGTATTTGTGATTTCTATTTAAAAATAGTTTTTCTATTTATTTGTGCTCTGTCACCAAATTTCTTTTTCCATTTTTAAAAATGGTCATTAAAGCAATATTGAACACTAATCATTCAACTAATGATTTCGGTAAGCAATCTGTTTCATAGAAACTAAAGGAAGCAGTAATAAAGCAGAGCTAAAAGCCTACTTTCAGAGCAAATATTCTCCTAATCAAAAGCTTAGGAGCAGTTTGAAAAAACTTTTAAATGCATTTCCTTATTAACATATATAATCTTAATGCCTTTGGAACACTTTTATAAAATGTAATTTTTAATAATAAAATTTAAATACATAAGTATAAAACTACAGCTCCTAGGACTAAAAAAATAGGAGCATGATAAAATATCAGGAGCCAAAGTTCCTTAAGAGAGCAACTTTGATTCTATGAAGTGCGATAAATGTATGTGTGTGTTTGTATGTATAGATATAATATATATAGTGAAACCCCCATTTACATTATTACAATTTACATTCCTCCACAAATTATACTACTCCCAAATATTTTAAATAATGCAGTATATTCAATAATCTGCACTCATTTTTAGAAATTCTTGGTAAACATTGCAATCTGCAGTGATAATTGGCCCTATAAAAAGGAAAAGAAGCTTCCGTATAGGGCTGAGTGCTCAAAATTTTTTTCTTTCTTTTTCTTTTTTAGAGAGATATATACTCTTCTCTAATCTCCCATCCCTCCCTCCCACCCTGCCCCAAAGGACAGGCTCCCATATAAGGTGTTAACAAGTGCTTAATAGATATGTTTTTAGGTTGATGTTCCTACTGACAATTAGAAAAATATAATTTGACCTTTCAGAAGATTATGGTTGTTGTCTAACATGAGGAAAGCCCATTATGACTTTATTCAGTGAACAAAATATTTTTGATTATTTTCACATTAACTAAGATAGTGCTAGTCTTACTTTACTTTTTCTCCTTCTAAAAATTCAACTTATTTACATTCCCCGCATTTCCCAGAGTTGTGTAAAAGTGGGTTTTACTGTATATATTTTTAGTTGCTTAAAGCTTTGTGATCATTCTTCAAATAGTTTTCTAATGCATTTCAGTTTAAATTCTCTATCTGAAAATAGCAAGGAAAGATGAATTAACACTGAATAGGAAAGATACCCTAGGGCAAAAGTGTTGTTTTTGCTTTTGGCTCTTAAGGGAAAGAAAATGTAATCACATTTAGCTACAAGTGATATAAGCAATAGGCTTTTACTTAACTCCTAAACAGTCTAGTTTCCAACTCTGGCAACAGGGGGCATGACCCCTAGACAAGTCCCTATGTTGAACTGTATGCTTTACACTATCTTCCTGCTTAGGATGTTTATTACACCATCTAAGCTGGGACAGTCCACTCTGTGGGTAAATACACCTAATGCCTGTGTTCCACAATGGTTCTGGATTCTGGACTGAGGACTAACAATGAAAATAAAAATGTGGCTGCACTTGACCCACCCTTTGGCCTTGAAAGGTGGAAAATGTCAAAGAGAGCTGTCTGTATACTGACTTTGAGGACTCCGATACCATATATATTAGTATTATTAAATGGAAAGAGAGCAAGTTAAGCAGTTTAAAACATGGCAAAATTTAAGGCCAACTATTAAGTAACATGGAATGCTGTGTCACCTTAATAGGAATCTCTTTTTGCTATAAATCTGGTGCTTTGTGTTTAGGTTTTGTTTCTTTATATTTGCACAATAAAGACAGCAAATATTTGAGCCAGACAATAGCGAATCTTCAAAATATACTGACCTGAAATTATTGTTTTATCTAAGAAATACTAGTTATCTCCCCAAACTGGATTCTTAATTCATTTCAAACATTTATGAATCCATTTAGAAGCTAGTAAAGATTAAAAAAACAAAACAAAAAACTCTTGGGTTAATCATATACATTTTAGAAAATTTACATTTTCTTGCAAAACTTTTTAATGAGCCAAATGTCAAAAGGCAGAGCCATTAGTAATGGACAAAAACAAAAATTCTAAGATGAAAAAGTGATTTGAATGTGGGACTTGTAAGACTTCACTACTAATAATGGCTTTCCTATATGAAAAATAACCTTAAAGTATGACAATTGGCAGTGAATTAGGATGAAATACCCAGGTAAACATAACTGGACACCAATGGTTCCAAAGCTAGTTCCTATTTTATACTGGCTTAATAAAAATTGGTACTATACAAAAGCAGAAACTTTTATACTGTCTAAAAAGTAGGCACTAAAATAAAAGCGGTCATCTAAGGCAGGGCTACACATACGTTTCTGTAATAAATCCACGTCTTGGAGTCCTACTGAAAAGCCTGATGGAAACGCGGTAGGGTGGTGCTTGTGCTCAAACTACTGGTGAAAGCTGCTGACAGGGAGTGCAGAGACCCAAGACCTATAGTGTTTGCAGGATCCTGAAGATCCTGTGTCTGTGAGGGGAGCTGAGACATAGAAGAATGTGCTTCTTCTTGGGAATAGCTCATTCCGAGGCTCCCCACTGATATGGGATTATAGGGAGGGCCATTTAATGGTATGAAATTAAACAACTGAGAAAAATCCAATGCTGGTGTGTTTAGGGGGTCACTGATGGAAATAGAGCTTTTTGACAGGGGGAGGTCCCCTGCACCCTCCTCAAGAGACCCACTCTGAGAATCTAACCCTAGCTTAGATGACGATGCTTGAGAATCCTGGGATGAAGAGGGTATGCCACCTGGCAGCTCCATCACATAACTCTCTATTTCCCCCTTTAATGGCTGTTCTTTTTCAGGAATAGAAATTGCATATGAGGTAGAACTGAATGGGTATTTGAAGGAAAGGTGGTGAGAAGGATGGACAGCATCCATATCTATGGGGCATGTCATTCCCAAAGGTAAAGTTGTGATCATTTGGTGGGCAGATCCCGAGCTCTGCATGGACTGAAATGGAGTGTTATAGAGGTTTAACTGCAAAGTGTTTGTGAATGGCTTTGATAACAGTTCACTGGAAGGTAAGGACATCACCGGAAGGAGCTCATCTTTTATAGGCACAGAAACATTACAGGTAAATGGATCTAGAAAATCCACTGGTTCTGTTTTGACCTTCAGAAGTTCTTGATTGTGACTCTTCTTCATATGTCGAGTCAGGTGATCCTTTCGGCCAAATCTCTGGGCACAATACTGACAGAGGAAGTCCTTTCTTCCGGTGTGCACCACCATGTGTCTCCGGACATCTTTCCGGGTGTAGAACCGGCGGTCACAATGCTCGCACTGGTGCTTTTTTTCTTTAATCCCGCCAGACGACTTGCCTGCATGAGATTTAAGGTGCTCCAGCAGCACTCCTGTGCTTTCAAAAGTCTGCAAACAAACCTTGCAAGTGAGGTCACCACTTGTTGCAGCATGCAAGGCCAAGTGACGTTTGAATCCAAGCTTGGTGTTGTAGTTTTTCCCACACTCTTCACACTTAAATGTCTCTTTGTTAGGGTCATGTGTATGTAGGTGATTCTTCAGGTGATCTTTGCGGTGAAACATTTTCTCACAATAATTACACTTGTGGGTTTTCTCAGGAGAATGAGTAGCCATGTGCCTTTAAACACAGACATATTCTGTAAGTATCATGACAAAAAATGGTACGTATTCACTTTTCAAATGGAAGCTAAACTGCTATGCTAACACAGAATTTCTCTAATAATGGACACTTTTAAACCTAATATGTACTACAAGGATAGTTAATATACCTAAACACTGCAAAACTTGAGTCATTTAAGTTGCCACTTTAGTTTTTCACTGACTGGTTTTTAGCTATTATTACAAAAGTAAATGAATAAGGCTGAATATACTCACGTAAACGTCCAGACTTTTTCTTGTAATTTCATTGTACAAACGGAAATTCTATTCTCATTAAGCATTTCACTTTTAAAAAATCCAAAGACACTAACTCATAAAAGTATGTGATTTAGAATACTAAAACTAGCCAACACATCTAATCTACTTAACATTTCCTCTCTGCAAATCAGCTAAAAAATGTGTATACACATATATACGTTTACACTGGCTTCACACGGCCAACATCATAGCAATTATAATCTGAAAGACAAATAGAGTTTAATACCTTTGTAATTTGTACTTAGAAACAAAGGCCTTGGTGCAGTCTTGTTGTGTGCACTTGTAGGGCCTCTCTCCTGTGTGAGAGTACGAGTGAACCTTTAATTTCTCAACACTGTTAAAGGCCTTGTCACACAGTTGGCAAGGAAAGTTTTTTCTTGGTTTGGTTTCACCACGCTTACGTTTCCCTGAAGGGACTTTCTGGGTATCTCTTACGTCTGACAAATCACCAGGAATGACAGTGGCCATCGCAGCCTAAACCAGGCCTTCTTGTTGGACACTTGGGAACTGCCCAACTCCACTAAATGATTTAGCTTTAGGTGGCTTCTCAAGTTTCATGTGGTCGTAAAAGAAAGCAAAAGGGGACTGGAAAAAAAAATAAGAAACAACTAGTTTGTAACTAAATTTAATTAAAAAGTTTTATTTGCTATGTGATGCTTTTGAATTAAAAAAGAAATCATAAAATGGATTCAGCTGGTCAAATGTAATATCTGTGGGTTTCTTTATACTTGTCAAAATACACATTAATGCATTGCTCAGAATGAACAGTTCATACATCTTTTGAAATTCCACATGACAAACGTTGTACTGAGGGAAAGCAGTCACGATTTCGGAAGCTCTGAGGAAGCATCAAAACATGACACTAATCTACAAGGCACTTTAGTCTTTCCCCAATGAGATCTCTCCATTGGTGGTGTTTATGG